ACGCCGAAGAGCGCCGCCAAGGTTCGGCCTTCTCTGTCCAGAACTACGACGGCCCATCCCGCCGTACGCAGGCCAGGCATGCTTCCCTCGAACCCCGATCCGTCCGTGAAAACATGGGCCCCCTCGGGGATGAATAAGGGGCCGTCCTGTGGCCATTCAAAGCGACGCGTGCACGGGTCCAGCGGGTCCCTCGGAGGCCTCCGAACGCATGACGTGGGGTCTGGGAGCATGCACCTGCTAAAAAGTTCCCCAGCCTCCCTGGACAGATGGCCAAGATTGCGAGCAGCCTCCTCCACCACGGGATCCAGGTTCTCGCGGCGCGAGGCGGCGAAAGCACAGCAATGGAAACGCCGATGGAAGAGATTCCCTACTGCTTCACCACACAGCTGACACTCTTTGCCAGATTCGGGACTATGGGCTGAGGTACGGACCTGCGACCAATATGCATTCGCCAAGATCGCCGAAAGGACAGCCTTGTGCCCCTTGGTCCAACAATCATTGTTTTTCCTAGCTAAAAGTTGAAAGAAGGGGGCCCAATGGAAAGGCCCACTCCACTCCCGGAAGTCATACTGCTTAGACTGCTCCTCCCGCTCGATAGCACGCCGCACGGCGCTACGCACGAGAAGGCCGCGGAGAGAAGCGCTCCACAGCCCAGGACCTGCCACGATCATTCACCAAGGAGAGAGTGTTAAAATCGAACTCCCAGCGGATCCTGGCCAGGAGCAAGAAGAGGGCAGCAACAGGTTGGCGGACCTGGCCCCACGGGCTAGCCTTGGCCAGGACCGCCTTGGCATCTACCACACATGCTGCAGCACATCATGTGTTATAGACTTGGCCCATAGAACTCCTACGAACTCTCGTACAGCCGCAACGATAACCACCACAAGCGGATCCCTCATCCAGAGCCGGGCAGAGGAAAGGAACCGGGCCCAAGGACGTCCCGTGCCCTGGGACGTCCTTGGGCCCGCTCCTCCCTGGCAGGGAGGAGCGGGCCCCAGGACCTCGCCGCTTGGATCCGCAACTTATGGAGGCTCGTTGGGGGTATCCTTAAAATGTGGGACCCCCAAATGGCCTTCGCGAGGGGTCCTACACGAAAGACTCTGCTATGTTTTTCGCTCTGCCCTAAGTTGCGAAGAGCAGCTCCTGAGGCCGACGCGTCGGACAGCCGTTGTGCCTGCGTGCCCACTCGACGGACGCTGCCATCGTTCGAGTCCCCGCCGAGGTCGCGGTGCGCGGAGACCAGCTTGTCGGCCCCGAGCGTCCACCGCGGATCCTGCAGCAGCTCGGGCAGCAGCTCGCGGTCCGAGAGCATAAAGCGGGTCTTGCCCCAATTGATTGGTACCTGCTTCGCCTCCAGCTCCGCAGTGACGATTCCAAAGCTGCCGATCGTCGCCGACATCGTGGTTGCTGGGCCTCCGATGGTGTGCGTGGTGAGGTCATCCACCACGTTCAGCGTTCGACATGGTCGTGTCTCGACCACGATCCTCCAGAGAAGCGTCAACGTGAGTAGCTTGGCGACTCCTGTCGCCGCGCTGCACCCGGCCACGATCCTGCCGTTCGGGTGGCTGAGGCGGCTGGTGCCGCCAGTCCATCTGGCTCTGCGCGGGGCCCTGTAGAGGCAGCAGAGAGCCTTCAGGAGTGCACCGTCGAAGGCGAAGTGTTCTCCTGCCTGACGTAGCTCTTGGTGGCTAACGTTCTCGTAGAACTTCCGGCTGGACGGTCGGTGCTGGATCGACCGGCCCGAGGGAGGCGCCGCTCGCCTCTGGCCGCGGCCATGCGGTGGCGCAGGTGGCAAATGGCGCTTACGAACTCGTTCGCGTTCGGGCTGGGTGGTGGAGGAGGAGGAGGAGGAGGAGGAGGCGGCGGCGGCGGCGGCGGCGGCGGCGGAGGCGGAGGCGGAGGCGGAGGCGGAGGCGGAGGCGGAGGCGGAGGAGGATGAGGAGGATGAGGAGGATGAGGAGGAGGAGGAGGAGGAGGAGGAGGAGGATGCGGAGGAGGAGGAGGCGGAGGAGGAGGAGGAGGAGGAGGAGGAGGAGGAGGAGGAGGAGGAGGAGGAGGAGCATGAGGAGGACGAGGAGGACGAGGAGGAGGAGGAGGAAGAGGAGGAGGAGGAGGAGGAGAAGGAGGAGGAGGAGGAAGAGGAAGAGGAAGAGGAGGAGGAGGAGGAGGAGGAGGAGGAGGAGGAGGAATAATAAGCATAAGCATAAGCAGAAGCAGAAGCAGACGCAGACGCAGAAGCAGAAGCATAAGCATAAGCATAATCATAATCATAATCAGAAACATAAGCAACATCATAAGCATACTAATACTAAAACTAATAATAGTACTAATACTAATACGGATATTAATGATGTTAATAATAATAGCAATAAGAGCAAACATATTTTAATCAAAAGAAGCATAAGCAGAAGCACAGGCAGAAGCAGAAGCAGAAGCATACGCATACTACTACTACTACTACTATTACTCATGATACGAATAAGAAGAAGAGGAAGAGGAATAATACGACTACGAAGAATACTAATATTAATAATACTACGAAGAATAATAATGCGAATGCGAAAAATAATAGCCATAATAAGAACAATAAGAAGAATAGTAATAGTAATAAGAAGAAGGCGACGAATACGATTATTAATCATAATAAGACGAAGACTAAGACTAATACTGCTAATAGTAGTAGTAGTAGTAGTAGTAGTAGCGGTAGTAGTAGTAGTAGTAGTAGTAGTAGTAGTAGTAGTAATACTAACAAGAAAATTAACAACGAATAGTAATAATACGAATGCTAATAATAATAATACGACTGCTACGATTAATAAGAAGAGTATTACGAATACGAAAACTAATAACAACAATACTAATGCAAATTATACTGATACTAAGAATACGAAACATAGTAATAATAAGAATAAGACTACTAATCAGGATACGGAACAATAATACTGAACACGCATAATAATAAGACGAACACTAATACTACACATACTAATAATGATACTACTAATAGTAGTAGTACTAGTAATTCTACTACTACTAGCACGACCAACCATAAGACGAGTACTACGCAGCACCATAACACTAAACATAGTAGTAATAATACAAGTAATGATAATGATTATGACAATGCTACTACTACTAATAATAATAATACTAACAGTACTAATAATACTGATAATAATAGTACTAACAGCAGTACCAACACGTACTATTAATAATAACAGTACTAATAGTACTACTATTAATATATACTAATAGTACTGATAACAATAGTACTAGTACTACTACTACTAATAATAATAGCAGTGCTATTAATAACCATAGTACTTACTAATCATAAGACTACGAATAATACTAATACTAATAATAATACTTGTAGTACTACTAATAATAATACTAATGATAGTAATACTGATAATACTGTTATTATTATTATTATTACTACTACTACTACTACTAAGAATAATAACAAGACGAATGCGATTAATAATGCTAAGACTACGACTGATACGAATAATAATACGAGGGGGAGGAGGAGGAAGAGGAGAGGGAGGACAAGCGGCAGGAGGAGGAGAAGGAGGAGGAGGAGGAGGAGCACGGCGATGATGGGGAAGAGGGGGATGCGGAGGAGGAGGAGGAAGAGGAGGAGGAGGAGGAGGTGGAGGAGGAGGAACAGGAACAGGAGGAGGAGAAGGAGGAGGAGGAGGAGGAGGAGGGGGAGGAGGAGGAGGAGGAGGAGGAGGAGGAGGAGGAGGAGAGGAGGAGGAGGAGGAAGAAGAGGACGAGGAGGAGGAGGAGGCGGAGGAGGAGGAGGAGGAAAGGGAGGAGGAGGAGGCAGAGGAGGAGGAGGAAGAGGAGGAGGAGGAGGAGGAGGAGGAAAACGGAGAGGATGGGAATCCACCTTGTTCTGACCTCCTCCTCTCTCCTCCTCCGCTCCTCCTCGGCTTGTCGTCGTCCTCCTTTTCATTTTCCCACATCCCTCTCCCCGTCAGAGCGGCAGGTGGTTAACGATCTTGGTGTTGGTCGTGGTGGTGGTGGTGGGAATAGAACGGCCACAACGGAGGCCGACGCATTATGGCCATCACCGTATTCGTGGGTCAGCCTCCTGCGATGGAGTAGACCGCCTATATTGTTGGTGGTGGTATTACTTCGGCCACTTGACAGGGCTAAGCTCTACCACCATCAGCAAGGTCCTGGCTGGGTTAGCCTCTCGCGATGGAGGCGGCCTTCGATCCTGGTGTTGGAGTCACTGCATAGGCATCCCAGCCTGCGAGACCAGACGGGCAGCGCCTTCTACTTCGTGTCCCCATGCCCCCAGGAGGGTTCGGGGAGGCCCACCCCGTACAGGGAGCCAGATGCCGGAGAAGAGGCGGAATTCGGTCGCAAATCTCGATCCTCGATCTTCGAACCTCCTCCCTCCCTCCATCTCTCCCCCCTTCCCTCCTTCCCTGCCTCCCTGCCTCCCTCCCCCCCTCCACTCCAGTTTCTTGCTCTTCGGCGAACGTCGGCCTGGACGCCCTCTTGCGCGGTCGCGACCTTACCCCCCTTCGCCCTCCCCCGCTCCTCCCAGCTGCGGTCGGGGGCGGCCAAGAGGGGAGTAATGACAAGGGGAGGAGAGATCATGGTCTGGGCCACACGATGTCTCTCTGGATTTCGTGGCCTGCTCTTCTTCTTCTTCTTCTCCTTATTTATTTATTTATTTATTTATTCATTTTTTATATATATATATATATATATATATATATATGCGTCCCCTGGTCCCCGCCTCGTCCCAGCACATGAGGCGTTCCAAAAACGGCGCAAGGGCGGCGGAAGGTCGGCGGAAGTAAAACGAGGCGCCCCAGAGAGGTGAACACGTTTTTAACTTCAGGGTTTCCGAGATCGACCACATGGCTCAACCCATGGTCGGCGACTCCCCCTCCTGGACACCCTCGGCTGCTGCAGGAGGGAACGGTTGCCCTTCCTGCACGGGAGGCGGAGGCCCCGCCCGACCCGCGCGCGAGGGGCCGCGTGGCGTCGTGCGCCGACCTCGCCGCGGCGGTCAGAGGGGGGGGGAGGAGGAGGAGGAGGAGGAGGAGGAGGAGGAGGAGGAGGAGGAGGAGGAGGAGGAGGAGGAGGAGGAGGAGGAGGAGTAAGAGGAGGAGGAGAAGGAGGAGGAGGAGGAGAAGGAGGAGGAGGAGGAGGAGGCGGAGGCGGAGGCGGAGGCGGAGGCGGAGGAGGAGGAGGAGGAGGAGGAGGAGGAGGAGGAGCAGAGTACACCAGAGCAAGGGGCCGAACGGTCATTCATTGTCCACGGGCACGTTGCTGAAGTGGGGTTCCGCGGTGAGGATTGTCGTTGCGTTGCGTTGCGTTGTTGTCGTCGTCCGTCTCGCGACCCGACCCGCGACCCACCCGCGCGCGACCCGCCCGCGACCCACCCGCGACCCACCCGCGACCCACCCGCGACCGCCGATGCACCCGCGACCCACCTGGGACCCACCCGCGACCCGCCCGCGAACTGCCCGCGACCTGCCCGCGACCCAGCCCGCGCCCGCCCCCTGACTCTTATCCGCAACTGCGGGGTGCTACATATCTTTATTTTCTTCTTGTTTACCCTCTTCCCTCCATCTCCTCCTCTTCCCCCGCTCTGGTCGCCCGTCTGTGGCGTCGTTGGCAGCTTCACCCGCTCGAGTGCCCCCGCCCGCCGTGCCACGAGGCGGCACCCGGACTCCTCATGGGCGCAGTGCTCTTACCCTTCCCCCGCCTCCTCCCTTCCCCCGCCTCCGCCTCCTCCACGTCCTCCTCCGTTCCCTTCCCTTCTGGACAACTCCTCCCTGTCGCACCCCGAGGTCGGTCGGTCGAAAGGGCGGGCCGGGCGTTTCGCCTGAGACTCTCTCACCACTTATGACCCTGATGCTTAAACATTCACAACAGCTTCACATATGGAGGGTGGGTTGTTTCAAAATGTGGCTCTCGCCTTGGCCTTGGCGCCGCCCACATTCGTTTTAAGAACTTGCAGAAGTTTCACGGATTGAGGACGGGTCGTTTTCAAAATGTGGCTCTCGTTTTAGCGCGGCGCACTTATCGTTTTAAACATGTGCAAGAGTTTCACGGATTGAGGGCGGGTCGTTTTTTTAATGTGGCTCTCGCCTTGGCGCCGCGCACAGACGTTTTAAGCATTTGGCAAGAGCTTCACGGATTGAGGGCGGGTGGTTTTCAAAATGTGGCTCTCGCCTTAGCGCCGCGCACGTTCGCTTTACACCTTTGCAAGAGCTTCACGGATTGAGGGCGGGTTGTTCTCAAATCGCTTCAGCGCCGCGCGCATTCGTTTTTGACATTTGCAAGAGTTTTGCGGATTGAGGGCGGGTCGGCTTTAATATGTGGCTTTTGCCTTGGCATCGCGCGCATTCGTTGTAAAACATTGCAAAGCAAGCGTTTCACGGATTGGGGGCGGCTCCTTTTCAACATGTGGTTCTCGCCTCAGCGTCGCGCACATTTGTTTAAACATTTGCAATCGTTTCACTGGTTCTTATGGTTAACGTGCCAGGAAAGGTGTTTTGGAACGATTCAGGATCGTCAAGGCTCAGTCGTTTGTTGATTCGCGGCGTTGAAGTCCCAGAAATGATGTTCTAGCACGATTCAGGATCGCCAAGACGCGACAGTCAGTTTAGTTCGTGGCGTTGAAGTCATGAGATTGGTGTTTTGGCACGCTTCAAGATGTTCACACGGTTGTCCCCCAACGGGGCAATTCCCTAAGTGGAACTGACCGAAAGAGCGCCAGTGGATCACCTTGAAGACACAAAAGGGGGGGTGTGCTCCAGGGAACCCCCCCCCGCCCTCCCCCCCTTGGGGGGGGGGGCCGATGAACAAGGGGGGGGGGGGTCCCCCCCCCCCCCCTCCCCCCTTTAAGGGGGGGGGGGGGTCGAAACCCCCCCCCCCCCTTTGAAAGGGGGGGGGGGGTTCGGAACCCCTCCCCCCCCCCCCCCTTGAAGGGGGGGGGGGGGGTCGGAAACCCCCCCCCCCTCCCCCCCTTTCCGCAGGGGTCCGGGGCGAGCGAGCTGCGCGCGAGGCGAGCGAGGTTTAGGGTTTAGGGTTAGGGGTTAGGGGTTAGGGTTTAGGGTTTAGGGTTTAGGGTTTAGGGTTTAGGGTTTAGGGTTTAGGGCTTCTCTTAGCGCAGCGGCCGACAGTCCAGGCAATGCTGCCCCCCCTTCGGCAAGCTTGATTGGGGGGGCGGTTCGCCGACCCGAGCAAGCTTGGCGAAGGGAGCAGGAGATGCAACATCTTCCCACCCCCGGCCACATGGCCGGCGACCTCCCAAACAAAAGCCTTTTAGGGTTTAGGGCCGCTGGCCCCTAAATTCCCAAATGGCTCCAAGCGCTCCCAGGCGCTCCCTGGCGCTCCCAGGCGCTCCCAGGCGCTCCCAAGCGTTCCCCGGCGCTCCCCGGCGCTCCCAGGCGCTCCCAGGCGCTCCCAGGCGCTCCCAGGCGCTCCCAGGCGCTCCCCGGCGCTCCCCGGCGCTACCCGGCGCTCCCTGGCGCTCCCCGGCGCTCCCCAGCGCTCCCAGGCACTCCCCGGCGCTCCCAGGCGCTCCCCGGCGCTCCCAGGTGCGCCCCGGCGCTCCCAAGCGCCCCCAGGCGCTCCCAGGCGCTCCCAGGCGCTTCCCGCACGCTCCCAGGCGCTCCCAGGCGCTCCCAGGCGCTCCCAGGCGCTCCCAGACGCTCCCAGGCGCTCCCAAGCGCTCACAAGTGCGCCCAGAAGCGCTTAGAGCGCCCCACGCGTGTTTTTACGTGTCGGAGAAGTAGGAACCCGACCCGAGGACGAAAGGTCCCCGGGTTTAGGGTGTTGTACTCTTCGAAGATCAAGCATGGTTTATTTTTGCATCGTAGATCACCAAGCGTGGGGTTAGGTAGCCCTAGGCTACCAGGACGACCCAGTCGGGCAACTAGCGGAAGCATCTCAGAGAAGCCCTGTCTCTCGTAGACGGCGACGGTGATGCGCGGTGGGGTGGGCAGAAGCACAGCGAGGTGCTTGGGAATTTAGGGTTTAGGGTTTAGGGTTTAGGGTTTAGGGTTTAGGGTTTAGGGTTTAGGGTTTAGGGTTTAGGGTTTAGGGCCTGCAGGGCGCATGCGCGCGCTGGCTGCGATCCCCCCCACATCAAGGTTGTTGGGGGGGATCGCTGCCCAAGCCGCGCGCGCTATGAACTTGCACTCCCGCCCCAGACCACCCACAGTAAAGCCCTTTAGGGTTTAGGGTTTCTCCCCCCAACCCCCCTATCAAGGGGGGCTTTCGTGTTGGCGCGCGCAGGCGATCGCCGACGCGGCCGTGGCATTGCGCATCCACGTGAGCACGCGCGCAGGGCTGCCCCTGGCGCAGCATGTCCGTGCGTTGCCGCCTTTGCCTTCGGCACTGGGTTGTGACACTGGGGTGCGAATGCTGGGAAGCGCGCGCGCGGTCGCGGCCGTGGCAATGCGCGCCCATGCGGGCACGCGCGCAGGGTGCATGGCGCTGGCGCGTCAGCTCGCCTCGTCGATGAGGCAGCTGTTGCGCCTTCGGCAGGGGGCTTCGCCGTTGGGCTGCCGCTGGCGCAGCAGTTCCACAAGGGGTCCGGCATTTGCCTTCGGCATTGGAAAGCAGCACTGCGAAGGCGCTGGCGCAACAATCCCATGGGTTCCCGCTATCTCCGAGCTATCTTTGAAGGACGCCACAGACGGCGCCTTCGGCTTCGCCCCCGCGCTCGCTGCGGCCGCGGCCCACGCCTGGCCTGGCGACTGGCGCATTCTGGGCGCTATCTCCGAGCTATCTTTGAAGGGCGCCACAGACGGCGCCTTCGGCTTCGCCCCCGCGCTCGCTGCGGCCGCGGCCCACGCCTGGCCTGGCGACTGGCGCATTCTGGGCGCTATCTCCGAGCTATCTTTGAAGGGCGCCACAGACGGCGCCTTCGGCCTCGCCCCCGCGCCCGCTGCGGTCGCGGCCCACGCCTGGCGTGGCGCCTGGCGCACTCTGGGCACTATCTCCGAGCTATCTTTGAAGGGCGCCACAGACGGCGCCTTCGGCCTCGCCCCCGCGCCCGCTGCGGCCGCGGCCCGCGCCTGGCGTGGCGCCTGGCGCATTCTGGGCACTATCTCCGAGCTATCTTTGAAGGGCGCCACAGTCGGCGCCGTCGCTGTAGCATTTGCGCCCGCTGCGGCCGCGGCCCACGCCATTCGCGCCTCGGGCGCTCGTGAGCGCTATCTCCGAGCTATCTTTGAAGGACGCCACAGTCGGCGCCTTCGCTGTAGCCTTTGCGCCCGCTGCGGCCGCCGCCCACGCCAGGCGTGCCTCGGGCGCTCGTGAGCGCTATCTCCGAGCTATCTTTGAAGGACGCCACAGTCGGCGCCTTCGATGTAGCCTTTGCGCCCGCTGCGGCCGCCGCCCACGCCAGGCGTGCCTCGGGCGCTCGTGAGCGCTATCTCCGAGCTATCTTTGAAGGACGCCACAGTCGGCGCCTTCGCTGTAGCCTTTGCGCCCGCTGTGGCCGCGGCCCACGCCAGGCGTGCCTCGGGCGCTCGTGAGCGCTATCTCCGAGCTATCTTTGAAGGACGCCACAGTCGGCGCCTTCGCTGTAGCCTTTGCGCCCGCTGCGGCCGCCGCCCGCGCCGGGCGTGCCTCGGGCGCTCGTGGGCGCTATCTCCGAGCTATCTTTGAAGGACGCCACAGTCGGCGCCTTCGCTGTAGCCTTTGCGCCCGCTGCGGCCGCCGCCCACGCCAGGCGTGCCTCGGGCGCTCGTGAGCGCTATCTCCGAGCTATCTTTGAAGGGCGCCACAGTCGGCGCCTTCGCTGTAGCCTTTGCGCTCGCTGCGGCCGCGGCCCACGCCAGGCGTGCCTCGGGCGCTCGTGAGCGCTATCTCCGAGCTATCTTTTTTCAGGACGCCACAGTCAGGCGCCTTCGCTGTAGCCTTTGCGGCCGCTGCGGCCGCCGCCCACGCCAGGCGTGCCTCGGGCGCTCGTGGGCGCTATCTCCGAGCTATCTTTGAAGGACGCCACAGTCGGCGCCTTCGCTGTAGCCTTTGCGCCCGCTGCGGCCGCCGCCCACGCCAGGCGTGCCGCGGGCGCTCGTGAGCGCTATCTCCGAATTATCTTTGAAGGACGCCACAGTCGGCGCCTTCGCTGTAGCCTTTGCGGCCGCTGCGGTCGACGCCCACGCCAGGCGTGGCTCGGGGGCTCGTGAGCGCTATCTCCGAGCTATCTTTGAAGGACGCCACAGTCGGCGCCTTCGGCGTAGCCTTTGCGCCCGCTGCGGCCGCAACCCACGCCAGGCGTGCCTCGGGCGCTCGTGAGCGCTATCTCCGAGCTATCTTTGAAGGACGCCACAGTCGGCGCCTTCGCAGTAGCCTCTGCGCCCGCTGCGGCCGCCGCCCACGCCAGGCGTGCCTCGGGCGCTCGTGAGCGCTATCTCCGAGCTATCTTTGAAGGACGCCACAGTCGGCGCCTTCGCTGTAGCCTCTGCGGCCGCTGCGGCCGCCGCCCGCGCCAGGCGTGCCTCGGGCGCTCGTGAGCGCTATCTCCGAGCTATCTTTGAAGGACGCCACAGTCGGCGCCTTCGCTGTAGCCATTGCGCCCGCTGCGGCCGCCGCCCACGCCAGGCGTGCCTCGGGCGCTCGTGAGCGCTATCTCCGAGCTATCTTTGAAGGGCGCCACCGTCGGCGCCTTCGCTGTAGCCTTTGCGCCCGCTGCGGCCGCACCCCACGCCAGGCGTGCCTCGGGCGCTCGTGAGCGCTATCTCCGAGCTATCTTTGAAGGGCGCCACAGTCGGCGCCTTCGCTGTAGCTTTTGCGCCCGCTGCGGCCGCCGCCTTCGAGCATCACCCCTACGAGCCAGAGATGATCCTGCAGCTGTGTGGAGCGCAATTCAGACAGTACGACATCTCTACGGTCAGCGGCGGCTTCCGCACCGTGACGGCGCCTTACTCGGGCATGGCGGATGTGCCCGACTGGGTCCAGAAATATGTTGATTGCTCGTGGCGCCACGAGGGCATGTCGCTCTTGGAGTGGCTTCGAAAGACTACTGACGACGGCGCCATCGCTGGATGGCTGAAGCGCAAGCACAAGCAGGAGCTGGTGTTGGCCCTGTACAGGCGGTACCGCGCGACCTTGCCCGAGGGCGAGGAGCCCCAGGCGCTCGACGCTCACTGGCGCTTCCTGCGCGCTGAGTACAAAGGCATGGCCGATGCTGATGGCGGAGGTAGCGGGAACAGTGACAAAGCCTCCGACGCCGAAGACGAGGAGCAGCCGAAGACCTTCGAGGAGTTCCTCGCGAAGAAGCGCAGAGACGAAAAGAGCGAGGGCGAGGGCGACTTTCCGAACCTCGAGGAGTTCGCGCGAGCCTACCGCATGCAGGGCGAGAAGGTGGTCAGCGTCGACACGGTATACGAGCTCAACGACCGCTACTACGGCCAGTGGGCTGCAATGAACGCGCCGTTCCGATCGCTCGACGAGCTCGAGTTCGAGGATGTCAATCGCCTGGTTCCGCAGAAATACAAGTATCTCGCGGCGGCGCTGCGACTGTGCTCTGACCAGGGCCGCGTCGCTGAAGAGCACCATGACTTGTTCACCGATGACAGGCGGCTCGTGGACTACATGAGCGCTTCCGCGAAGTCCAGCAAGTTCACCGAGGCTGTGCATCGCATGATCGTGGGGCAGCGGAAGCTGATCAACATGTAACTGACGGGCATCATCGACAAGGCCGACGAGAAGGCCGCGGCCGACGTCGAGGCCGCCGTCATCGGCAACCGCAGGCCAGCGCGCGACGAGGGCCAGGAGGAGGTCGACTTCAACCCGAAGCAGCTGCAGCTGGAGGAGGCGATCAACGAGCGCGTGGACCGCGCGGTGCGGGCAGAGCTGTCGGAGGACTGGGAGGAGGCCGACGAGGCGCGCGAGGAAGCCTACAAGAAGAACACGCCCGTAATCTGCTTAGGAAAACCTGGAACTGGGAAGACCACCGTGGTAAAGTTCTGCATTCGGCGCGCCCAGGAGCAAGGCGCGCGCGTGCTCTTCGCCCTCCCGACGGCGCAGCTGTCCAGCCGCATGAGAGCCGCGCTGCAAGACCTGGAGGGCCTAACGGTGGACACGTGCCACGCCGCATTCAAGCTGCACGATCCAATCACAGAGAGTCTTCACAGGATGACGGACTTCGACTTGGTGGTGGTTGACGAGGTATCGCTGCTGAGTTGCGAAAGCTTCGAGCGCATCCTGAAGCTCTGGAGCGTTGCGGGGAAAGTCCCCGCGCTGGTCTTCCTCGGAGACAAGCACCAGCTCCCTGGGGTGGAACCGACACGTCCTTGGGAGAGTGCCGCATGGAAGCGGCCGCGCTGCTTCCTCGTGAAGCTCACCGAGACCTGGCGGTGCAAGGAGGAACGCTTCCAGGAGATCCTGGACGAGCTTCGGACAGACAAGCCCTCCAAGGAGACGTTCCGCAAGATCGTGCGCGACCACAAGGCGTGGAAGAGCAGAGGCGACCCCACGCCCGCCGAAATGAAGAAGCTCTTCGAGAATCACCCAGACACGCGGATCGTCACCTGCACGCGCAGGGGCGCTGCGGCCGTGAACGAAGCGGCAGTCGCTGCGCTGTACGGCCGCAAGACCCCGCTGGCCAGGCTGGACGGCGACGTGGAACTCAACCCCGAGAACTACCTGGATGCTGTGCGTGGTGGAGAACTACCACGCCGAGGAGGACATGCTGCGCGTGATGACGAAGACGGGCCACCGTCTGGCGATTACTCGCTGGACCGACCGCGAGAAGGGCAATGCGGTCTACTTTCCGATTCGTCTCGGCTACGCCAGCACCATCGACAAGGTGCAGGGCGACGAGTTCCCCCACATCACGATATACCTGGACGGGTGGCCTAGACAGCAGCGGGATATACAGCGCTCAGCCGCGTTGCAACGTCGGATGATTACTTGATCGGCGGCTTCGTGGAGCGCGACAACTTCATACCCGCGTTCTGAGATTGCCGATGGTGTCCGCGCGTTGGCTGGCGCGCGACCGCTCGCCTCTCGCAGTATCCACGCGGTGCGCCTGCCCCGCTGTCGCGTGCAATGGCACGAACGTGCGCATTCCTGCTAGGAAAATGATGGTCTGTCAGTGCCACGTCGGGGAAGGGAAGAACAGAATGTAGGGCATACTTAGAGATTGTCTGACGTTCTCGACACCCCTGGAGTTTCGAAATGGCGGGGAGGGGGAGCGCGAGGGGGCGGGTCTGGCGCCCCCTCGTACATGGCCACGGAAGGCGTCGTGTGATGCCCTTCGCGGCGGACTTCGCAATGCGAGAGGGCGCCGGGCGCGTGTCCCTCGCGCTGCCCCCCGTGAAACCCCGTCGGACTTGAAAAACGGGCCCCTGGAACTCCTCGGGGCTTGCTCTACGAGGTCTTGGGCGAATCACTAGGGTCCGCGGGGCCGTTCGGCGCATCTGCGTCGCTTTTTTTTTTGACGCGTCGCGGTTTTCTGCTAGATGCACCAGCAAGGCACCAAAGCATAGCCGAAGAAGCCGCCGCAGGCATGACGTTCTGCATGGCACACCAAGAAGGCCCAAGGGGCCGCCGTAGGCGTATGTCCACGTGCGTTACGCTCCCCAGCGCAGCAATGCGTGAAGGCGCCAGGCGTTCGCCCTATCGCGCTCCCCCCCGTGGAATCCCGCGGCAGCGTTACCGTGAGGGTTAGCGTGAGGCACGAAGTCGGCCTCGCAAGGTGTTCGAAATGTTCCCCAGGACATTCCAGGGTGCGCAGCGTGAGTCTGCGGCTTCTCTGCGAGATTTTTGTTGCATGCCCCGGGGCAATGTAGCTTCTGAAGAGCTTCCGCGCTCGGTGTCGCCGAAGAGGCATGATGCATCACAGAGGCAGTAGCCACGATATGCTGCGGCCACACGGCGAATGCGGCCTCAGAGGCCAGCAGACCTCGCGCAGTTTGACGCCTCGAGCGATTCGTAGAACGCCCCGGAGGCCGCCGTAGGCGTGTTTTCACGTGTTAGGCATGCCCCAGGGGCAGGACCCTTGGCGTCGCCCCCGCTGAAGCGATTGCATTGTCGACGCAGCCGCCTTCGGCGCGAATGTCGCATGGCTGGAGAGGGAGCGCGAGGGGATGGGTCTGGCACCCCCTCGCTACGATGCGCGCGCATGGCTGCGGCAGCACCTGCATTGCGGGAGAGCGCCGGGAAGCGCCGCCAGGGAGCGCTGCCGAGTGCTTGCGAATGCATGACAACGCTTGGGAGCGCCATGGGACCGCTTGGACTTCTAAAACGCGCTTGGGAACGCCGGGGAGCGCTTGGGACCACCTGAGGGAGCTTGGGACCGCATGGGAACGCCTGGGAGCGCTTGGGTGCGTGCTGTGAGCGTGCCGGGAGCGCCTGGGAGCGCGCCGGAGCGCCTGGGAGTGCTTCGGAGCGCCCCGGAGCGCTCGGAGGCGCCAGGGAGCGCTTGGGAGCGCGCAGGGAGCGCCTGAGCAGACTGGGAGCGCCTGGGAGCGTGCAGGGAGCGCTGGGGAGTACCGGGGAGCGCTTGGGAGCGCCAGGGAGCGCCTGGGAGCGCCTGCGAGCGTGCCAGGAGCGCCTGAGAGCGCCTGGGAGCGCCATGCGCCTGGGAGCGCTTGGGAGTGCTTGGGAGCGTGCCGAAAGCGCCGGGGAGCGCCAGGGAACGCTTGGGAGCGCTGGGGAACGCTTGGCAACGCTTGGGAGCGCCTGGGAGCGCCGGGGAGCGCTGGGGAGCGTTTGGGAGCGCCTGGGAGTGCTTGGGAGCGCCTGGCAGCGCTTGGGAGCGCCTGGGAGCGCTTGGGAGTGCCTGGGACGTGCGCCAGCCGAAAGGACGCCGCATGCGGTATTTTCATATGGTTTGCGGCCCCACGGACGGCCGAAAGGGCGCCGCATGCTGTATTTTCATAAGTTTGGAGCCCCAGGGGATGCGACCAACCGTAGCGAACCCAACGGCTGGGTTTTGGGTTAAGGGTTCTATTCATCTCTCGGAGCACTCACAAGGCATCCCCGCGGGGGAGCGCATCCTCCTCAGCGCTACGCGCTTCGTCGGTGCGGCGTTCGCGCATGGGCGGACTCGCTGATCGCTCGGCCAGGCGCCACGGGCTTCTGACGATGCACCGCCCGTGGCTTGCAGTTTAGGGTTTAGGGCCTCGCTGGGCGGAAGCAGCTCGGCCCCCCCTCCTTCAAGAGGTTGGGGGGGTCGGCTGCTATTCGTTCCCGTTCCCCCCCCCCACCCAAAAGTACCCGTTTAGGGTTTAGGGTTCTTCTACCCCCCTCTCTCCCCCCTTCTCATGGGGGGAAGGTCTTGGTGGCGGATCATCTTCGGGCGTCAACCAGCTGTCAATCTACCCCCCTTCGCCCCCCTTCGCATGGGGCGGGCTAACTTTCTCTCTCTCTCTCTCTCTCTCTCTCTCTCTCTCTCTCTCTCTCTCTTTTTATTTCTCTCTTTCTCTCTCTCTCTCTCTCTCTCTCTCTCTCTCTCTCTCTCGGAGCGCATCTTGGCTGGAGCTCACGCATGGCACTCTCGAAGATTTGGCGGGTGGGGGAGCGCGAGGGGGCGGGTCTGGCGCCCCCTCGCATTTCATTGTGCGCTACGGACTTCTCTGGTGCCCTTCGCCGGGCTGAGTGGGCAGCAGCGCCTGGGAGCGCCTGGGAGCTCCTTGGAGCGCTTGGGAGCGCCTGGGAGCGCCTGGGAGCGCCTGGGAGCGCTTGGGAGCGTATGGAAACGCTTGGGAGCGCCTGGGAGCGCCTGGAAGCGCTTGGGAGCGCCTGGGAGCGCCTGGGAGCGCTTGGGAGCGCTTGGGAACGCTTGGAGCGCTTGGGAGCGCTTGGCAGCGCTTGGCGTCGCTTGGCAGCGCCTGGGAGCGCCTGGGAGCGCCTGGGAGCGCTTCTTGGGAGCGCTTGGGGGCGCTTGGGAGCGCCTGGAAGCGCTTGGGCGCGCTTGGGAGCGCCTGGGAGCGCCTGGCACCGCCTGGGAGCGCTTGGGGGCGCTTGGGAGCGCTTGGCAGCGCCTGGGAGCGGTTGAAAGCGCTTGGCAACGCTTGGAAACCCTTGGGAGCGCCTGGGAGCGCCTGGGACCGCGTGGGAGCGCTTGGGAGCGCTTGGGAGCGCCTGGAAGCGCTTGGGAGCGCTTGGGAACGCTTGGAGCCGGGGAACGCCCCTGGGCGCCAGGGAGCGCTCCGGAGCGCTTGGGAGCGCCTGGGAGCGCTTGGGAGCGCCGGCGCGGAGGGGGACCGCGAGGGGGCGGGCTTGGCGCCCCCTCGCAAGCGTGGGAGCGCTTGGGAGCGCTTGGGAGCGCCTGGGGGCGCTTGGACGCGCTTGGGAGCGCTTGAGAACGCTAGGGTGCGCTTGGGATCGCGTGGGAGCGCCTGGGGGCGCGTGGGAGCGCCTGGGAGCGCCTGGGAGCGCTTGGGAGCGCTTGACAATGCTTGGGGGCGCCTGGGAGCGCCTGGGAGCGCTTGCGAGCGCTTTGCAGCGCCGACGGGCGCCTGGGAACGCTTGGGAGCGTTTGGGGCGCTTGGCAGCGCCTGACAGCGCCTGGGAACGCCCAGGAGCGCTTGGGAGCGCTTGGAACCGCCGGTGCTCTTGGGAATCCTGGGAGCGCTCGGGAGCGCCTGGGAACGCTTGGGAGCGCTTGGCAACGCTTGGGAGCGCATGGGAACGCTTGGGATCGCTTGGCAGCGCTTGGGAGCGCTTGGGAGCACTTGGCAGCGCTTGGGAGCGCTTCGGAGCGCCTGGGAGCGCTCGGGGAGCGCCTGGGAGCGCCTGGGAGCGCCTGGGAGCGCCTGCGGGCGCGTGGGGCGTCTGGGAGCGCCTGGGAGCGCCTGGGAGCGCTTGGGGAGCGCCTGGGAGCGCCTAGGAGCGCTTGGGTGCGCCTGGGAGCGCTTGGGAGCGCTTGTTTCGCTGTCGAAGTTCGGCGCGGAAGGGGAGCGCGAGGGGGCGGGCTTGGCGCCCCCTCGCAACTGCCAAGTGCTCCCAGGCGCTCGCAAGCTTGGGAGCGCTTGGCAGCGCTTGCGAGCGCTTGGGAGCGCCCGGACGCGCTCCCGGGCGCCGGGGGGCGCCTGGGAGCGCCTGGGAGCGCTTGGGAGCGCTTGGGAGCGCCTGGGAGCGCTTGGGAGCGCTTGGGAGCGCTTGGGAGCGGTTGGCAGCGCTTGGCAGCGCTTGGGAGCCCTGGGAGCGCTCGGGGAGCGCCTGTGAACGCCCGAAGCCGCCTGGACCGCCTGGGACTGCCTGGGAGCGCCTGGGAGCGCTTGGGAGCGCCTGGGAGAGCTCCGGGGCGCTTGGGAGCGCTTGGGAGCGCCTGGGAGCACTTGGGAGCGCTTGGGAACGCTTGGGAGCGCCGGGGGGCGCCCCCGTGCGCCGGGGAGCGCCCCGGAGCGCTCGGGAGCGCCTGGGAGCGCCTGGGAACGCTTGGGAGCGCGTGGGAACGCTCGGGAGCGCCTGGGAGCGCCGGGGAGCGCTTGGGAGCGCTTGGCAGCGCTTGGGAGCGCCTGGGAGCGCCTGGGAGCGCCTGGGAGCGCCTGGGAGCGCTTGGGAGCGCTTGGGAGCGCCTGGGAGCGCCTGGGAGCGCCTGGGAGCGCCTGGGAGCGCTTGGGAGCGCCTGGGAGCGCTCCCAGGTGAGGTTTATCCTTCCAGGGGCCAAGAGCGCGCGGCCTGGGCAAAACGACGTAGGGTTCAGGGTTATCTAAGAGCCGAAGCTCAGCGCGTGCGCCGGCCCGATAACGATCTGGGCGCTCGACTATCGCTCGCTTTCAGAGCGGACAAGGTTCGACATCGGTGCGCGACCCTTCGAGGGGTCGCGCTTCAGTTTAGGGCCTGCAGGGGCGCATGCGCGCGCTGGCTGCGACCCCCCCCACATCAAGGTTGTTGGGGGGGATCGCTGCCCAAGCCGCGCGCGCTATGAACTTGCACTCCCGCCCCAGACCACCCACAGTAAAGCCCTTTAGGGTTTAGGGCTTCTCCCCCCAACCCCCCTATCACGG